AATCTACAGTTCCTATATTTATAAAACCCATAAGCCTCATTCTCATAGAGATTGAGCTACACCGCCAAACTGCTGAAAAGCTTCTAAAGATTCTTTAGCCTATAGGTTTTAGAGCTGTAAAGAGTAATAGGCAAATTACTTAAAAGTATTAGCCTTCATAATATTATGTGTTATCTATAAGGGAAAATACCTCTATTGCTTTCTGTCAATAAACTATATGTAAAATATTTTTTTCTATTTAAAAAAAATAAACAAAAGCTGGGAAATACACACTCTGTGTATTTGTGTGTTGGAGAACACAGAACCAGTGCCAAATTTAGGAAAATGTCCAACAATTCAATGATATGTTTCATTATGTTTACTGAAACTTTAAAAATGTCATCTGTATGTCCTGGGGTCTCAAAGAAGCCTATTGATACATGTATACATTTACAACAAACAGTAGACACTATTGTCTCCAATGGCTGAATGAATTTAAGATATGAGACTAGAGTGGGCACAGGAAAATAACATGCCCTAATATACAGATAATCATCTTGGAGACAGTATCACAGTCCAGGGATGCAGGTAAATATCTTAATTCCAAAAGTCTTGGTTGCTTACATTTATAGACTCCTTTGGGAAGCAAAAACAACTTCTGACTTTTCCTTTTCTTGACTTGAGACATACATTGTTTTTATTAGCTAAAATGGGCAGTTTAAAATAACCATTCCACATACATCCTGCCTATTTACATTAATTATATTAATTTTCCAAAATCGTGGAGACTCTGTTGTTGAGGCTCGATGTCTGTCCATACAAATTCCCACAATCTTCTCATTGATAAGAGCCTCTCTAATACGGACTCGCTGATGTTTACTAAGGTCTAACCTGTGTCTGAAGACTTTTCCATACCCATCACAGGATCAGGGTTTTTCTTTAGTGTGAATTCTCCAATGCTGAATAATGCTGGTGATTCCATGGAAAACATTTCCACATTCATCATGTTTATAAGCTCTATCTCCTGTGTAGATTCTCTAGTGCAGTCAGTCCTGACTTCTGGGTGAACACCTTCCTCCCTACTTCCTTCACATGAGGTTCTATAAGGTATCCATGCTGCACGAAGGCCTCCTTACAGTCATCACATTTATGCAGTCTCCTGCTCATGTGCATTTTCTGATGTCAAATAAGGCCACTATGGCTGAAAGCTTTCCCACATTCCTTATGTAGATAGCATTTTCCCTTGTGATGGGTTTCCAGGTAGGAAAGGAGGGACCCACTGTAGACAAAAGTCTTTCTAAACTTGTTGCTGTCAAAGACATTCTCTTTGGTGTGTACTCCCTAATGCTGAGTAATGACTCATCAGTAACTAAAGCTTTTACTAACTTACTGCATTGATGTTGCATTTCTACAGATTCTACCCCACCCCCCAACATGATTTAGCACCTTCAGAATTTTTTGTGTTTGAGACAAGTCCTTATGTTCATTCTCAATAACATCATCTAAAAAAAATTAGCAGACAATTCAAATGTCAGTTATCTCTTCTGCTGAGATAATGAGACTTATGATGAGAAACAGTGATAAAAATAAAACCCAGTTTTACCTAAAGTGTATGCCTTTTCAGTGTCCCTAAACTGCCATCTCAATTTTGAAAAGTACCCAAGAAGGCATATGAGGTTCCAGTTTGAGTGAGAAGACAGCTGGACAGAAAGAGACTGTAAGAGCATGGAGAATTTTCTTACAAAATGTGACAAAGAATAGGGAAGATATAATAAAAAAAAGTTAAGAGGCAATCAGTTTGAATCCAGAGATGAAAAACAGGGAATATCATGAAACCAAGAGAAAGTTTAATTTGCTAAAGGGTAGTTAAAAGTACTATTTATGCCAATTGACATATATCTAGGCCACTACTATAGACAAACAAAATGCTCCATAAATGTTGGTTAAGTGGATCAACAAACAATGGCACATGATAAAAAGTTAATCTGAGGCAAAAGCTAGATCAGTTTCAAAATGCATCCTATTGTGACTTGGGGAAATCAGTAAACTGGAAAAATTACAGTGGGGAAAATAACTTTTCCAGATAACATGCAGGATTAAAAAATAAGAAGAGAGAAACATTTTAAAGCTAAAGGAGTTAACTAAGTCAAAACAAAAACAAAACAAAACACAAACACCCCCACAAATATGGCTTAGAATTTCTACCAAAAAATTGGACAGATAATGAGGAGACCGGTAGAGGCAAGGTTTCAAGGGAGAGGACACTACTAACAAGAGTTCTAAAAGCTTCCTTTCAAGGATGTCTTCTTTCTCTACAGACATCCTTTCTTACCTGCTTTCCACTTCATAAGGCAATAATGCTGAGAGTTAAACTAAGATACAGTCTTAGCCTGACACCTTTGATTCCAGGGTACTGTCTTACCATGAGCGTATCTTTTTCTATCCTTTAGCCTGGGCCCTAAAAGGAACGAGATGAAGCTGGTCTTGGAAAACTGAATTTGAAGCTAATCCCTCAGTAAAAGCACCCAAACAACAAGGTTCCAGAGGTGCATGTGAATACCAGGGAGAATTAAAGCTCATGAGGGAGACACTGGTTTACGACTCCAGAGACATCTGGTGGATCCTAAAGTTCAGTTTTGCTTCTTTCTGTGCCAGTCCTGAAGCCTTTCACTAGTCAAGCCATAAATGATTCTCCCACCCCTTCCCACCTGATGGCTTGTGCCTCAAGCTGTCTCTTCAACTTCTCCAGCATCACTGATGCCTCTTCTCCACATTCTGGATGATGTTATCCTCTCTAGGTCTGCAGCTCCCCAGGCCAAGTTCAGCACTTGCTCCTCGGCCTGTATTTTTGGTTTCAGCAACTGTGAGCAGAGCTTCCCGAGTTTTCTAACAGCCCTGTAAGGTCCAAGTATCTATCTCCTGGTAGTAATAACTTAAAGTTTGAAGAAAAAAAGTTTTTGGCCAGCCTTATTCTTGGTCCCAGGCACAGCCCTCTTCCTCTACGGTCAGTCACTATAAGAGATCTTTCCTGCATGAGGACTGCCATTCTGGAATAAGTGAGCTCAGGAGAAGATTCACTCCAGCCTGGGGTTCACACTGATTCTTCAGAAGTATTTCCTTGTAGCTAGTCTTCTTCCTGAGGCATAAAACAACACTGTTAATAGAAACTCTAAATTTTATTTAGCTCTTACCCAGGAATTCACTTACCTGACAATGCACTGAAAGAAAAAAGGAACTCTGCCAGAAAGATAAAAAAATTAGAAGACAGACTGGGAGTGACTGCAAATTATTAGCTAGCACTATCTGTAAAATCTCTCACTTCCTAAATCTCTATGTTAATAATACTTGAGAGAAAGACTAGGACCCTTTTCCCTTTGGTTTTCTTCTGAGAATCCCCAACAGTAGAGACAAGTACATAAGAGATCAAAAAATAACGGCCAGTATTCATTGAAAATTGACCGTGAGTTTACTCATCTAAGTATGTAATTCCACCGACAGCTGAATGATACTGAGGCAAAGAGGGATTAAGTAATTTGCTAAAAGCCACACAACCGCCAGTAAGTAGATTCTGTATCTTTCCTTAAATTCAAGGGTTGGCCTATATATTCTAGGGAGAGTCATGAGTCAGATCATCATCTCAAACGAACCCAACTTTCCTTTTACTGAACTGGGATTCCAGACTCCTTTTTCTCAACAGCCCTAGTATCCTAACACAACCCAAGACTTAGAAGCCATCTTTAATTCTCCTCGGCAGCTCAATCAACAGGCCGAACCTCACCGGAGTCCCTAAAGGGCTGGATTAGACACTGAGCAGAAGCCGAAGGCGGAGTCCACGACTCCGCGACCACTACCGCCTCCAACCGCACGACACAAAGGCTGAAAGAGCTGGCAGTTCTGGGCCTGCAGCCGTCACCAGCGGCCTCACCCTTCGGGCTTCTCTAGGAACCTGGAGGTTTTCTCCTCTCTGTGGTTGCCGGGCCGCATCCTCGCCCCGC